AAGATTTGTAGCACGTTGTTGAGTGTGAATTGTCAACCTTGAACCCTTCACTTTTGCGTTAATATAGCTGTTGGGCCGATTACCAATAAATGAAATTATACCCACGCCATATTCACGACAATATTTATCGAGAAGTTGCCGATTCCATGATAATAAATTTAAATATTTGTAATAATTTTCGATAATAATAATGGAGAAACGTCCACGTTTTGCGGTCGTTAGAAGTGGAAGATTTTTTGTAAGAGTTTCAACTTTAAGAGGTATTTTCAGCGCATCTAATATGTTAGCTATTTGTTTTCCAAGCTTCGAATATAACGTTTCCACGAATACCAATACCTTCTCGTCTGTTAGAAAATTTGTCGTATTTCTTACGAATCCATAACGCTTATGGATTGTACCAGTTTTATTTGGCAATGGGCAACGATATGGCGGTATATGTTGTGCTGGATATCTGCAAAAACAGTTCTAGTACGATATAATAAATCTGCAACATCTTTTACCACATATACATAAAACACAAAAACACACACTCATATGCAGAAGTTATAATCATTTGCACAAATTTGCCTAAAGTTTCCATTCAGTCAAAGCATTAAATTTTGAAAAGGAAGGGATTTATGACATGATGAATTAAAGAATTTGTTTAAATGTAATTAACTGTTTTATTTAAATTGTTTATTTCAATGTAATCAATTTATTTAAACGTAATACATTATTTTCAATGGCTACCTGTAGTGTCGTTTTTCGGTGATATCAACAAGATGAGTGAAAAGGAAGATGAATGACAAGCATGTGATTATGATTGTTAGTTTGAGCCAGAAAATGATTCGTCGAAATGGTAATGTCAACATTTCCCAAATTTACATTTCTTCAACCCATGTCAACTAATATACGTTGCACGGGAAATTTGTAAAAGTCACCTGAAATATATAAATCGAACAAGATCGACAACATACAAATCTAAGGGAAACCTGACGTTCTCTAAACGAACAAGCTGACAGAGAAAGGAAGATTCACTAAATGGTACCACACAATCCAGGCCTAACTACGACAAATTGCAACGTTTTCCGATTTGGCCGTGCCGTGAATTCTTATAATGCTAGTCCGTCAGTTATGTCACGTCGTTAAAGTTAACTAGTTCTGAAATTCAACGGAAGACTGTTTCCTCCTTTTATTTGAGTGGTTATTCATTTAGAAGTGAGATAAGTGTCACTGTTTAAGGTCCTAGAAAATCCAGCAATTCTGCAACTTTTCAGGAAGTCGTTCTTGTAAATATCTCGAATATTAGTGATATAAAAGATTTTTTAGCAATATTTATGCAGTGTTTAGGGTTAAGAGGAGAATCCCGAGATTCAAGATTTGATAAATAATGACCTAAGTGATAGTATGCTATGCTTCCATAATAATATGGTATACACGTTATATTGCCGGAATTTCCTTCCTCATTTTTTTAGTCCTACGATCTACGATGATATGTCTTTGGGAAAGCTTATAATTTCCCCTGTTTATATTTTCCCTGTTGTTCTATTTCCCAGCTTTTTCGTTTGTGCCTGATAAACATTCGTTGTTCATCTTAGTCATTTACTGGACAAACGCATATCGCCATAGTTTCCTTAATCATAGCAGCGTTCTGGTTGTTGTTACAATATATTGCTATTTGATATTATGGAATAAGCAGGACAAAGTTTCATGTGATTTAATTTGCTCAAATCAAGTAGAAAGATTCATTTTGTGTATTTGATTTGTTGAAAGTATCATCACTATTCAGTAACGGATAATTTTTGACATTTCTTCGCATCCTTTTCTTTGTCTTTAGTCGAATTACTTTTGTTTTCTCTTTTTTTACAGGGATTTCACATTCCACTTTGACTGAAAATGACGACTGATGCAGAGATGACTAGTTCAACATATGTAATATCCTTTGAATTGAGCGATTTATGTCAACAACACATGCAATGGAAGAATTAATGATGGAACTTAGTCTTCGAAGTTTTTTCCGAGACTTTAACGCTCCGTAAGTTTTCTCTTTGGTGGTTCCTACTGCTTAACAAATTTTAAGAAAAATTCTCGATGGTCGCCTTCTGGTTTATTTAATTTTGGTAGTTTTTTTTTTTTTACTTTTTTTCACTCAAGAAGCGTGATCACTGTTTACTCAGGCGAATTAGTGTCATTTATTCCGATTATTGTTTATTCCGAACAGCTTTGGGTTGTTAATCATTAGGCACTTCAGGATGAATTCAGGGGATACTGATTAAGTTCCAATCATAAATATTAAACTATTAAGTTTTATAGGAAATTCGTCCTGTACAGTTCCTTGTTATGCTTCTTTATACTTCTTCCATTGCGTTTTGATGGTACTATCGAGCTTAATTACGCGCTTGTCTTTTTACCGTTATGGATTTGCGAATGCATAGTTTTTCTTGGAGCTGTTGTTGCAGCAATATCCTTCACGATATCTCCCCCATCTTTGTAAGTTGCTCCTATGTCATGATGCATCCTTCTATCGTCTTAATTTTGGATTAAAAGACGATAAATCTTATAGCACTTTATTCTTTTTAACAGGTTTATCCCTCTATTGAATACCGTGAAAGAATTTTACAGTGAAGGTGATCAGTTTTTGATGAATAATTTAAAAAGTTTTTGATGGTTAATTTAAAAAGGAAATACAGATTAAGAATGTTACAGGACGGAGAGCTCACTTCGTTCGGATTTTTACGGAATGATACTGTGTACTGGAGAGCATGGGTTACTGACGTTGTTTGGGATGTTATGTTGTCATAAATTGCAAACAAATGCAACAGTAGACGAGTTACCTTGGTTGCTCGTTTTTGTCCCCATCTTCGCTCTAAGTTTACTTTCTGTTGTTGTTGCTATATGGGCAATCAGAAACGACAAATCGTTTGAGGTTATTGTTTTGTTCTGCAGAATTCAAAAATATGTGACTTGCTTTTTACAAACTTGGAAGTATAGCGGATTTTTTTATAGTTGATTCAATTCATAATCAATGATTACAGTTGGAACTTTTCTTTTCCATCAATATTGTGCAGTTTGTTTTTGTCGCCTTCAAACTGGATGGTATATTGGATTGGCATTGGACAATCGTTTTCATCCCGTTATGGGTGGTCCTATCGTTAAGTGTCGTCGGGGCAAGTTTGTTTGATTTACTTAGGAAATACTTTCACAGAGCAAAGGTTGATTTGTTTATTATCGCCTATATACTTTTGCTGAACGAATTTAAAAAAATGTTCAAATTTGATTGTCACCGACCTTATTTCTTTCACGCAATAGGATTTTACTGATCATTGAATCGGTTTTTAAGGTTTATCACTGCAGTTATTTAAAATTCAAGTGAGGTTAGTAAATTTCATGTTATAGGTGCTTTATGCGTTTGTTCTAGCAGTTGTGTTGGCACGATCAGTTCATATCCTACCTTCTCAAAGAAGGCATCATCTCTACTCTGCTTTGTGCCATACTTTGCTTGTTATACCAATTCTTGTATTTCTTCTGCTTCTAACCGGTATGTATATCACATTTACGTGGTTTTACCTTGAGCTGGATTTTAACAAGGCCTTGGGATGATGAAGGGTAATGGAAGCGGAATGATTTTTCCTTTACTTTGTGATTTCCTTACTGTTTTGCTGAAATATTAATCCCATTTGGAATGTACGAGTAAAACATTCTACTGCTGTATTTATTTGAAACAAAATTAAAAGCTAATATGCAAATAAGCTGTTAGATGTTGCCAAATTTTATTTTTAATTTCAGGTAAATTAGACGCAATATCATGGTCAGATGATGAACCAATCAGCCAAATTGCTTTCATTATTGTCTGTGCTCCGTTAGATTTGGCATTATTCTGTTTGGTTTTAATGTCATTTGGTGCGCGTGGGGGTAATCCATGGTGGTTTGCGATGCGTGCACCGTTCTGCTCATTTCTGCTCGAAGCTTGTCCATGCTTGAAACAATATGCCAATGTCAGCTACAAGTTTCGTTCATCATCCGAACATCAAAATATAACGGAAGATTTTGAAAAACAGAGCCTGCAGTCGGATCGTTCGATTAAATTTCCATTACGTCCAGTTATACCGTTTCGTTCAATTGAAAGTCCTGATTAGTTACAAAACTCTATTTGTGTTTCTCAAAATTATTCTTGAGAAATCCAATTATGCTGTTATACCTTTATTGAGAGCTCCGTTGTGGAAAAATTACACACTGGAAACTTAAAGGGGAATTAAGGACAATATTGCCTTTAACATTTGCTTTTTAGGGATTTCTTTTATGTATTCCATTTCTTCTTTGACTGTGGTTAGACTTTTGACGGTTCGAAAAGTTGTTGTTTCATACATACATTAAAGTTGAAGTCTGAAATATAGGTTGAACACGTATGTAGCATGTATGTGATTACTTTATAGTTCTTTCCTCAGCTTCTTTTGTTTGATCTCGTGATTCTATCATAACTTGTAAATGAAACTTTTCATGCGAAGTAGAATCCAGTGCTATTATCTTCAAAATCTATCATAGTGGGATAAATATTGAGTTCAACACTTTTCCATCATTTCCATGTGATTTGTGATATTGTACAGATATGTTGGTAGTTTATTACCAGAATAACTGGGTCAGAGGTGCCTTTGTTTACGAATATTTTCTTTAGCGTATACATCAAATGTCAAACTTTCTTTGTATTATTTCTTTTATTGCATGTTAATCATCTATTCTTCAAGTTATACTTTCCCTATGCTAATAAATATTCCTTAATGAACGATATGATACAACAACTGCAAGTTGTTATTTGCATGCATTCATGTTTCCTTTAGATTTCCTTGCACTTCCATAATCTTGAAAATATTCTTGAATTGGAATGTATTGTAATGTGTGGCTGCCTGTACCTATCTTCATGATAGATGACAAACAAATTCAGACCGATTGACCGATACATAGCAAAAAGATTACATAAAAGAGGGTGATCTTTGCAGGAATATGTGGGATGTTCAGAAATCATTATGAAAAATTGCTACGATGTGTTAGGTTGTTCATCGGTAGCTTCGTACAGCGAACTAAAGAAAGCTTATTTCTGTAAGCTGCGTACAAATCATCCAGATAAAGGTGGTTCTAACTCGGCGTTATTTCTGGTGACGAAAGCTTGGTCTATCTTGAAGTTGGTCTCGTAATTTATTAAATTTCATCAAGTAGATCAGGGAACTGGTAAAAGGGGACATGGACCCTTGTGTAATAATTCTCCCTTGTTCCATAAATTTTATTTGTGGCTTATGAATAATTCATTCTAATATACTTCTTTCGCAGAAACGAGAATACACGTCGGGACTACAATACTTGGTTGAGAGAACAGTTACTACGCGAAGGACAGGGTATTGTTGGGCAGCAAATCGTCATCGATAGTACTGTTGAGCGGATTGAAGAGTTTTGCAGGTGATCATTTCAAATGCTTTTTTCTGGCTTAATTAAAATAAGCAGAAGTTCTTACCGATCTCTTATTCGTTGAGTAGTTCTCTCTCACATCTTAACTACATCGTCGACATATTGCAGGCTTCATACACGTTGTGCAATTTTTGTTCTGAAATTTCGGTTTTACAATTTATATTTTATGCTAGATATAAAACCAAATCAGTATCAAATCCATTGATTTGTTGATACTGTTCACCAAAACAAAGGTCTGGTTATTTCTAAATTTTACCGGTATATTTCAGTTGCGGTGGTGAATTTATTCTTGAGAAAACAGATATTGATCGTATTATTAATTCCGCATATTTTGAATGTTCAAATTGTTCGTTATGTCTGGAAGTCAGTCGGGAATGAACTCGCATAAAGTCGTTGTTCTTGGAAGCAGTGGTGTTGGCAAAAGTTCATTTGTCAACGCTGTTTGCAACAGGTTATCATCATCCCATCGAGTTTTTTTTTCTTTTTTTTGACACAGGTAAGGTGGTCCGATCAGGTAACACGTTTAGTTATTAACTGTTTTTCATTGCAGCAATAATACGTATTGTAAAGTCTGAATAAATGATAAGGAAGAAGAGGCAAAATATTTTAATAAGGACAAACTCGGTTGAAACTTCTTTTTCTGATGGTTTTTTGGCATTTAGAATCAACAGTTTCTTATATAGCCTAAATTATACCTTATGTATTTATCCAGAACTACAAATAGAGAGCACGAGATGTAGAAAAGAAAGAGGGAAAAGTAAATAAGTCATTTTACATTTAATCTCTAAAGTAGTGGTTCCCAGCCGGTGGTCGTGGACTACAGGTAGTCTATGCGAACTAAAATATGGTTCGCGAGGGCTATTACAGATTATTTTCCGCCTTTTTTTGTATTGTAATGTTGCTCTAAGTTTAACTTACACGTTAAAAGTTTTGTTTAAATTTTGTTTTCAAATTAACAGAATTTATCATTTCTGAACATTGCGATCCGTATTGCTAATAAAAAAGCCAAAATGATCCTTGGTCACGAAAAGGCTGGGAACAACTACTGTGAAGGGATGATTCAGTCAGTCACGGTTCTTAATGATGCAATATTTCCTCGGCATAAAGAAGAGGAGAAGGATGACTTTTACAACCATTTCTGCATGAGCAAAGGTAGTTCAGAAGTAAAGATGAGAATTGATGAGTTTAGTATACACAGTTTTTTTTTCATGCTATTTTGAGTTTTTCTTTTGTGCCATTTTTGGGATGAATTGGTAATTTTTATTGCTATAAGCATTAAAATATTGTATTTTGTATCTCAAAAAAATAAAACAAAAGTATAATGCTTGTTTTTTTCAGGCATGATGTAATTCCTAGTAGCACAGTTGGATGTGCTGTTTCCGTAATCGCTCACCAGTATCGGGCTGGAAGTACTGATGAACAAACGGAACTTATTGAGCTTTGGGATATTGGTGGTTCCACAATTCATCAGAAAGCATCTGTTATTTTCTTCGAAGGTTCACTGTTTGAAAAATTTATATCTCTCTGTCAAATCAAAGATTGTCTTAAAAGTTTGGTCTTTAGGATTCTCATTTCCTTGTTTTTGCTTTTGCTTTTGATCTGAGAACCTGCTGACTGGAACAAGTTGGTGGCGAGTAGACAATTCATTTTGTTTAATTTTTGAATTTTGCCGGTTAATTGGATTCCTTTTGGCATATCGCAGTTCTGATGACGACAAACGAAATAACATGCAGAAAAGAACAAATTATTTGCTGCTTCAGGAGCCGCAGGTGCAATATTAGTACACGATTTGAGCAATAAGAAAAGTGAATCAAACCTTTCCCAGTGGGTTGCATTACTTCGTGGCGATTCATCGTTATCTTCTATAATCTCACCATTTACATCTTCATCTGGTCCACGATTTTTGTTGAGCGATATTGAAAGTACACCGATGCCGACGTTGATTGTTGGTTGTAAATCAGATTTAGCACCTGAACGTGCTAAGCAGGTTTGCCTTTAGTATTGCTTATACGTAATCATGCAAAAACTTCTATATTTGATTAAATCATGAAATTTCTAGTTCCTTTTATTCTTTCTTTTATTTCTCTTATGATCTTAGCCAGTCTCAATTGATTTTCGTTTACAGACAGCATACGATCGAATCTCTTTAAATTGTCGGCGTCCAATTTCACCTGGCTCTACGAATCGCATTATCCTATCGAAATTTTTTGATACAGTTGTTGAACGTAAAAAAGTGCCTATGGCTGGAGATAAGCGGCGTAAGACCATTATCACTTAAGCAATGTTGTACAAATTTTAAAGTGCGTATTTGCTCATATATTTCCTCATATGCATATTTGCCTATGAGTTAATTGTCCAGGTATTTATTACTACTATAAAAGGGACTTATATTGTCGCAGCAGTGATGAATCGATAAAACATAACACTGTAGAGACAAATCATATGTGGTTGAAAATGTTTGGTGAGAGTGGGAATTTCGGTTTGAGCTGATTTAACACAGTTTATGAATTAGTGATACATATAAAATTAACAACATTCAGCGGCGCAAATAATTTTATTTCTTGTCTTTTTAAAATAGCATGGTAGTTCATTAATATCTTGCCGTTACTTTTCATCGGAAGTCTAATCTAAAAAATTATCCCTTCGTAAAAAAATTACCCCTTCTAATTATCTTATTACTTTTATGTAAACTACTGTATTTTACCACAAGGAACGGCCGACTTCATAAAAATTCATCAAATTTGAAGAACATTCTTAACATAGATTGAAGACATTCGTAACTGAGATGGTAGTCACAAAATATTCATTGGTGTATTGTTGAATTAAATTTCAGAAGTTATAAATATGTATAGAAATGTTGTCATTCATAATGATCGGTACAGAGATCGAAGTATTGATTGATATGTCCTGCACATTTTACCGCTCCCTGTTTTTAGACCATTTGATAGATATGCAATGACAAGCTTATTGTCGATATCGATATTCAGTGCTTGGCAACCATATCCCGGATGTCCAAACAAGTAACTATTCTACAAGGTAGCATTAATTTAGAGTATCAATATTAGTATTTATGAAAGTTCGAGAATATTGGATGTTATCGGAATTCGTGGTCTCCAAAAGCTCGAGATTATCAAGGAAATCGAAGATTAGGAAACTACATCTTTATTGTCAGTAAAAATAAAAGTGTAGCCGTAGGAAGATTGTTACTACCGGGATGATTGTGTTTTCCTCTCAATTGCAACTTTCTTTTCTGGTTGTTTTATTAGCAATTTGTGGGATTTATATCTCATGTCATTTACCCTGTGATAGAATACGGTACTACAAGCAATCCGTACTCCTTCCCTAAGTGCTCTTTTCATTTGATGTGCATCTTGAAATTTCTTACCTCGTTGACAGGATGCTTTTCGAAGAAGAATCCCCGACCTTTGACAAAGGGATAAAGGAAGACCTGATCCAAATGCCAATTAGCCATAGTTGGTCGAGTTATTTGTGCTAGTGTTCTGTTGCTCAGAAGTGTTCCATCAATTGCCAGTGAAAATAGCTTTGCCAAATTATAAGCATCGCTGACACCTCCTGTTGCTGGCATGTTTAGTTCAATAATGTTTGGGTCATTCACTGCCACCGTGTCCTAGAAAATTGTTATTTTGATTAGAGAGAAATTGTGAAAGAGCAGAATATTTTAAAGCAAAACTTGAAGGAAAGGTAGGGATTTTGAAAAAGTCTTCCATGATTTTGAGCGTTATTTGACTTTATCATGTTGACATATTGCTAATTAGTTTGAAATTTACAGGATTTCCAAAATCTACAGAATATTAAGAAACTTGAAGGAGCTAGTTGCTTAAGAAAAATTTTTACAAAATTCAGTGGAAGCCACGTTAGATGAATTCGAATTTTTGCGGCCAAAGAATTTGATGGTTGTGCATACATCATTGCAAGCATGATAATCACTCGCAGATCTAGCAATACATCTCGGGTGTATTCAAGTAACCCAGGCTGAGTTACTCGAGCTAACTTCTTGAATTCCTGTTTTGACAAACCAATTGTGGCGTCAATACCTAAAAGCTTTTCATATTGTTAGCTTCCAGATGTACAAAAATTATGATGCTAAATCTAGTAAAAATTTAATTTTAGCTGAGAGATTACCATATTTGTCAGCAATTTCTTCCTGTAAGAACGTTTTAATGTTACGACCTGTCTCATCCACTTTGCGAAAAATACCATCAACCAGCCAGCCAAATGTCACAGCGTGATATCTAAAAAATGATAAATGGAATTACCAATTCGAAAAATTTTCAAAAATCATGGAAGGATGAATTAATTTCGCATCAGAATCCTGTTCAGGGAAAAAAATTGTTTTATTAAATATTATAAAGATGTGACAGTTGACCCAGTAGCAGTGCCAGGTTTCCAAAGAGGCTTGGCTTGTTCCATTATCTGCATAATTCTTTTTCCGTTTACCACATCTTCCATCGTGATATTGTCAAGATATGGAATTCCAGCCTGTACAAGTTTTTGATACATTTCAGAAGTCATACAAATGAAAACGCTTAAAGGCCTATCGAATGCTAAAGCTGTTGAAAATGCTAGGAAAAAAAGGTAACTCCTCGGAACTTTCAAAATTTTATCGCCTTCATTTCGAAAATTTTGCTCTTTCTTGTCCATTTCATTACATTTTAGCAAAGAATCTAAAAAGGAACAACTAACTTTATGAGTCAGAACATCTTCAATTGTGGTCATATGCTTCCCGTATTGTCCATATTCGGGCCAATGTTTCACTACCAGATCATCGTATGACAGACGACCTCGATCAACTTGCATCGCTAAGCAAAGTGCTGCAATTGCCTGTAATTTAAGAATTAAACAAAATCTTTTTTAACATAATTTGAACGGTCAACCATTTAACGCTTTTACAATGAAACAAACATATTTTCAAATTACATATACTTTAACTTCAATTATTTTGAATTTGAATAAATTTTTCGGTCATTATATATATGTATATATAATTATGCATTTGATTACTGAAAAAAAGAGTAGGATGATTGAAATCACTAAATTTCAATAATTTCATATGAAACGGAAATGAGACTTTGGTTAAATTTCATGAAAATTCAATTCAAACTGAAAAATATTAAATCAGTTTCCTTACCAACATTGTAAAATGGTGAAATGGTGCTTGATGGTTACTGAAGTGACTGAAAAAAAGTTCAAATTATGCTTTCATAAAATTTAACCGAAAGCTTATTTCTGTTTCTCATGAAATTTCATGATATACCACTCAGAGATATGCAATTTCCGTAATTTCAGATTCATTTCAGTTAATATTCAGATACTTTTGTGGTAGAAAAGAGGACTGTTTTGGTGTTATGATTCCATTTACGAAGTGACTCTGAATCCGAATAACCATTCCATAAATTTACGATAACTTTCCCATTCTGAATGACTGTTAGATGAGCACCTTCTCTCTCCAAACCCATTTCAAAATTCTGCCTAAAATGTGGATGTCATTTCTACTGGCAAATAAATTTGCTTTTAAATTTGAATCATTTCTTCCATTTTTCCATCCATTCATTTTCCACATTTTAGTTGTGATTTTACTCGCCGCAAAATCAAACCACAATTAATAAAGAAGAAAGAAGAATAAGGACAGATTAACAAAGAACATAATTAATGAAAAAAAAATTAACAAGAATTAATGAAGAAGGATTAATAATGAGGAGGAAGTAGATGAGAAAAAGAAATCGTTAAAAAGCTTGAAAAAAAAAGTATATGTTACTGTAAAAATGTCACTTTGGATTCATCAATGGAAATACATGAAGAGAATACTAGTAATGAGGAAAATTTTTTATTTGAAACAAAATATACCTGAAAACTTTAGCAACACCCTCAAACTGGCTGTCATAAAAGCCTTTTGGTGGTGTTGATAATTGATACTGTAGGATAAAAAGCCATTGCAAAATTGTGGAAACAGTAAAATATGCTAGTACCAATATCATGGTTAATTTAAACCTTCCTCTTGATAAGCAATTTTGATCCATAACCATCCACTCTGATACTTTATCCGTTTTCTAATTTTTAAATAATGTTAGTTGTGGATTCTTCCAGATCTTTCGGAAATCGTGATATGATTAAGGATCCTAAAGTAGCAATAATTTATTGTACCAAACATGCTTCAATATTGAATTAGTGCATACAGGAATATTTTTCATACATTCGGGAATTTCATCAAATGTCATAATTAACAAAATTAGTCAAATGTTACTAATTGGAATCAGGTAATAATAACATTATGTAAAAGCACTAATGGAAATAAATGATTTTATTAAGTGAGAATTTTTAAATTTGCAATGAATATTTCCAAGTCTGAACATAGTATTCGCAACAATTTAAGTTGCACAAATTTCTAAATTTGATATAGCAAATTCGACATTCAGTTAATTGATACTTGATAAAAGTGGAAGAGAAAATGGGCGCAAATATTCTTGTGCGCAAATACGCTTCGTTTAATTCCTCATTTTTAATCTTCTTTCGAAAATGACTGCTGAATTTTGATATCTATAATATACATCTCCGTGATGATGGATTATGATTCCTCATTTGATCGTTTGCTATCTTATTTAAAAAAATAACAACCTTACTTTTTTTTAAAAAAAATTGAGCTTTGATTTGCTTGAGTGAAAATTATTCATGAAATTTTTGGGTATAAATATACGGATGATACGGAACAGATCAATAACAGTTTCATAAGATATATTAATAATTTAATTTTTAACATACTATTTTAAAATGATACCTTGTTTTTTTTTCAAATATTATTAGGTATAAGATAATTATAAGAATGGGAAGAAAGGCATTCAGAAAAATGCGTTATATAAATTCAAAGTTTTCAAGAAACTAAAAAATCGTTAAAAATAGCAGGCGATCGTACACCAAGTTCGAAGTGTTCTAATCGTCCTTAACATTGTTTTGCCTTATCAGTATCAGTATGGTTGCCTTTTTTTCATATTGATAATCTTTCCCAAGTAGGAAATCGTCATCTGAAAGCAGTAAGTTTATCATCTAGCATTGATAACATTGATAATATTTGCTTCATGCCATTCCACTCATTCGTCGCACTTGGTAGTTTATTCTTCCATTTCTTACGATCAAATATTTTATTTTGTTTTACAAGTAAATTTTATAAAATTATTAATATTTCCAATCATGTACCTTTCATTATCCAATCTTTGAGTTCCTGTTGCAAAATAAATCTGTCACAGAGAACCAACTTATTAATTAGTTTTAAAATATTTCAGCCAATTATCAATTAGCCGTAGCTTCTGATCACTCGTTTGCATAAAATAGTTTAGTCCCGAATGTGGACCTTTATTACAATTAGGAGAGTTGCCGAGACTTCCAAAGATGATATAATCGCATCATATTTCGTATGCGCCTGAAGTTCACCACACACCTGTTGTCATGATTACGATCATTCAATCTCATGATGTAAAAAGGCGTATTGTATTTAACTGTCGCACCTCTCTATCTAATTTGTAATCGTTACTTTATTCATCACAATTATTTACTTATCTACACTTGTTCTACACATCTACACTTGTCTACACTGATCTACACTTGTTATTCCATACCTCCAGTGATACCATAGAGACATATCCTGAGATATTACGAGAATTTAACTTGTATTAGGAACACTTGACTCTCATAAGTCAATCTGGAAACTGAAACAAACATCTGCAAAACCAATAATCGACAAAAAAATTGGGGACGAACACCCGTACAAGTCGTTTCCTAGACACTTCCTTTCTCCTAAATTTCATTTTTCATACATCTAAAATCTCGGCCTTTTTTCTGATCGAGCTTTCATTTCTTCTATTTCAGTAACTCCTCCTTTTCCAAAATTTCCACACATCTAACACCAGTCCAATGTTTTATATTTATTTCGAAGACTATAAACGACCTTTCAACATCTATTTGCTCTAGGTGCGATCTGAACTATGAAAATACTTTTTCTTTGCAAACATTCCAAAAAATTACTTTGCATGGAAGATCAACACGTCAGATATAAATATGACAAGTAAAATAAAAAACAAATCACCAGTTATATCGTACAAAAACATGATATTGGGCTACGGGAAAACTGATGCATGAACAAGCAAAAGAAATCAAAAATATTTTAAATCAGAAGTACTTTTAAGTCAAAGTAAATCGAAACTGAAATGATAGTTATGTTGGAAAATCATCTCATTATCCAGAACTGCAACATGAGCCTAACGGTCAAATGATTTCCTCAAATTCCTAACTCCTTAAACAATGTATAGGCTTTCGGTCCTTTCAGATAACAAATTTAATTATTGAGAATTGTTTGGATTCAATTTAGCGTAATAAAAAATAAGTAAGCCAGACAAAGTAGCTTATTGTGTGACCAACAAACTTAGTTCTAGAAGTCGGAGATCTATCATTTTAATATGTAAAGTGGAAGGTTATTTTAATGTTCTTTGGTGGACAACAAATCAGATTCTCTTATCATTGCACGAAATAGTGAATTCGGATCATCCAGTAATTTTCTTGGTGTATCGAATTCACGAATACAACCATTTTCAAGTACCAAAACCCTGAAATCAATTAAGAAAGGTAACAGATTCCAATTACATTTAATTATTTCTAAAATCAAAAGAAAAAATCATTTCCGACTAAAAATATTAACATAAAACCAACCTATCACTATTCATGACCGTATGTAAGCGGTGTGCAATTGTAAGCACAGTACAATGTGAGAATTGTTCACGAATCGTTTTCTGAATGAGCGCATCTGTTTCCATATCAACAGATGCTGCTGCTTCATCCAAAATCAAAATTTTACTCTTTCGCAGTACTGCTCGAGCCAAACAAACCAGCTGTCTCTGTCCAACACTAAAATAATAGTGACTATTTTTACTAGTGTGCATATTAATTATATGTGTCATAACGATGTTGAATATCTCAACTATAGCATTTAGATTCATTTCCAAATGCAAAGATCCCCTCCGTAAAACATCTTTGCACTTCATTTTTTCTGGGTTTGCTAAATTCTCAAGAACAGCTTAGCTTTTAGGTGTGCAAGCAATTTTTTTGGTTATTCAGCTGTAGTCTCTCCAAAGCTTGAGAATTAGAAACTCACTCCCAGAAAATGAAATCCCTAAATAATATATATATACATATATTGCTTATATTCATAACAATATAATAAGCTTAAGTTGCCGGTAAGAAGGTACTTTGAAATATTCTTCTTACCTAATATTTTCACCACCTTCACTTAATTTATGTTCCAGTTTGTTGGGGAACGAATGCACGAGTGAATCCAGATGAGCTGTTCGAAGTGCATTCCATAATAAGGCATCATCAAAATGACCGAATGGATCCAAATTCATGCGTAACGATCCAGAAAACACAACAGGATCCTTCATTTAACGCAATTATTACATGGAAATTTTCGATAATCTTAACGCAGTGATAGCATACATGGAGAGAGCGATCAAGACATTATTTAATCTTGGTGAATTTAAATGACAAAACTGAATCAATCGACAAAACCTGTGGAACAATTGTTAATTTTGGGCGAAGATTATCCAGCGATATTTTCGAGATATCCACACCATCGATTAATATTCGACCTGATTCTGCCTCAATAATGCGAAACAAAGCAAGTGTGAGAGAAGTCTTACCTGAAAGGGATAAATTGATTAAATGGAATCTGTTATTACTCACTAGATAATAATGCTTGACTGTTATATAGCTGCTGATATACTTTCCTGTTTTGTTTTCCTTCAAAGAAAAAAGAGTTCGGTTTCAATTCTAAATCAGGCATTTTCAACTATACGGCTCTCCAGTAATTGCACAAAAATCCAGGAATTTAGGTTAAGGTAGTGTGCAATGTCCGCATGATTCTCTAAGTAGAATAGAGAATTGTTTACAAATGCAATACTTGACCTGCACCAGTTCTGCCAACAATTCCAACTTTTTCAGCTGGATGAATTGTTGCACTGATTCCTTTCAAAACAAATTCCAAATTATCACGATATTGTATCTTCAACTTCTCGAAAATAATTTCTCCTTTATCTGGCCAGTCTTGTGGTGGTGTGTACATTAAATTTTTATTCGCTGAACCCTGCAAGTATTCATTATATATTAACGGTAATACTTCAGAAATTATCATTTCATGAGCATTTCTCGGTATAAATTTCAATAACGTTATTTTGCAATTTCAAAAGCATAATTTCACTAATATAACTTCACCAATATAATTTTAATACTAGACTTTTGGTAATGAACATGTTCTCTTTTTAGAAATTCAACGAAAATGAAAATATATTATATTAATAAGCCATCATTACTCTCTTTGGTTTTCTTGAAACTTGGGAAATGTACATCCTAATGACTGTACGTTCTACTCCGTTCCATTTCCAATAATGAGAGATCTTAGCTTTGTTGGAATTACATTAGTTTAACCGCAAAAGTTACGTGACCAACTTCTCACCTCAATAGGTAAATCAGTGTATTCCCTGAGACGCTCAACAGCAACAACATTGGTTTCCAATTCACTAGCCATACGTACGGCCCAATTTAAAGTCTGTGTTATCTAAAATGAAAATTTTATGGAAATATGATCAATCATTTCCGTTCTAATGAAACCTTTTCATCCTATCATTTATTCTCATGGAGTTGAGTGCAAAATCGGAAGTCACGACAGTTACGGAATTTTTCATCATTACTGGACTCAATTTAAAAATTCTCAAGATAAAATCAGTCAAAAAAGTACATTAAGAGCGTATGCAACAGATAATCCAACTAAACCAGCCGTTACCGAACCACTTTCTCTATAGAATACCGCAAATAAAGCCGAGCAGAACACAATAAGATTACCGACAAGTTCTAAGCGTACTGCTAACCACCTGAAATTCAAATCTATTTTAAATTTACATATCGTCAGTTCCTGTGATAAGTAGTCCAAAAACACAACCATATCTGGAAAACTGTCCTTTATTAATGTTAATTAAAGTTCGTCAGACCTGTTAGCGACTAATGAATGATATTGTATAACAATATTCTTATCAAGACGATCCTGAGATTCATGGATAAAACGATCCATACATCGATATGCTCTGATTGAGGCAGATCCTTGGATTGATTCCTTGAAAACTATCACAATAAATTTAATGGAGAGAAAGTAAAATTTGATAACTGTTAGCGGAAGATTTGCTTTCCAAAAAATGAACACGTGCCGAATCTTGAGAGATCACACTTTTCTGCTTCATCATTATAACAGCTTTGTTTCTTCCTCTCTTCCAGAAATGGTTCGGAATTTCAATGTTGTGTTTTAGCAGTTGCCTTTTGATAGTTCTGATAATAAGAAAACCCCTATGAATACTGCCGATCGGCAATGTTTCGAAATGCTTAACAGTAAAGTCTTTCAATTCTTCCTACGTCAAAACTTTCCTTTCGCTTCGCAAAAAAAGAAAAACTAACTTGAAAATGTGAATAAATAGGAGATCGAGCGGCGGATTCCAAACGTTTTAGTTGCCGTGATGTCGAAATATAAAAACGCTGGAAATGATTGATATATATTGCTAACATCTGATACGTTAAAAAAAGTATATTTTCCTCAGTAACAAAATCTACAGTTTAATAAAATACGTCCCGGTTTCTAAATTTCTAAGTTAGTTATAAATAAATTATATGGGGATAAAGTTTGAACAAAATGATAACATGCAAGCCGTTAATAAATGCGTACAAGCGTGGACAACGAAGGAATTCGCAATATACTCCAGTATTGCATGAACTTCACTCACACTCCATATTTTTCATTTCTCAGGATACACTATCATTTTATCTCTTTCCAAATTCAGAAAGCTCTTTTGCCACATATTATTTTAAGCATGCAATAAATTCCATGTCAGAATGAATAAATTTGAAGCGATCGGTAAGATAGTAAAGAGAAGCATGAAATAAAGCAACTTATTTGTAATCATCGTCATTTCTTTCAGTCTTCAAAAAAAAAAAAGAAAAATGGCTTAGGAAAAAATTCGAAGTATTTTTGTGGACGATCACATACGAACTACTTTGGACCTTTAGCTATGCAACAATTCAAACAAAAGCATAAACAAAAGCAAAGGCAAAATGACTTCGAAAACTTTAGTGAAAATTCTGTCTTTTTTATGATGCTTTACATAAGACACATGCAAGTGCATCAAATAAGCTTTCTATACTCATTTCGAAGCATGCAAAGGAGGTTGACTTTTGTGAAATTTGATTTGGAAATTACTTAAATGAAACACCATATCGGCGAAATGATTGATTAACTTCCTTTTAAGAACAAGACCACGAAAGGTTTCTACTCTAATGACATTGTTCCATTACATTGTATGAAGATCCACAAATTAATAAACTTAATTATAAGCGTAAATCAGAGTGAAAAGGTAAACTTAACGCCGAAATTTGCCACATAAATGAAATCTTGAGAATTTTTTGCAAAACGTAATTAGAATGCATGGAAAAAATTGCAAGTATTAACAACATCATAAATAAAATAAACAACATGACAGTAATATCACCGCACTGCTCCGATAATAAATAACCTATTTTGGGTTGAAATCAAATATGTCCGTCTTTCATGCTGTATGGGTTGAAAAATTACCATTAGCATAAAATTTAGAAATGAAATCATAGCGAAGGGGAAGATAATTTGTGGCGTCATAAGTACCGGCACAATCATGATAATAAAAGCGGTAAGAATACATCCAATAAAGGTGATCACTGATGATGGTAAACGTTGATCGAAATCGTACAAATCCTGTAAACATGCAAACACATGCGAACTTGTGAGCTCTCAACCAACCCACACCGATAATTTATTAATGCCACGATGCTACCAGAAAATGCAGTCATGCTACTTGCAGGAGAACGAATACCACAATAACAGAACGTCTGGCTAAAACGATTATGTAAAACGAAGTCTAATTCTGTCCTCATTCTCAGAACACACATGAAGCATGATCACGACGGTAACATGCAGTTGCAGAAAATGTGCAACAAAAAGTGATCCAGGATAAGTCTGGAGAGAAAATCTCCATTTTACTGTTAGTTTGATAAGAATTAAAGACCAATAAACATCACATTCATTAACTCAAAAGTGATATACAATAAACAATAGAAAGAATGCAAACAATAACTCGAATGGCACCAGAACGTTTCATCTTCGATAACTGCTAAAATTTATGAAAATCCATAGTGTTAAAATCGTCAGCAAAAATAAAATCCTTCTAATGATAAAATACGCTTCACATGGAAATCATACTTTTCAAACAACATTTCGAAAAACTAAATTTCTCTTCTGTAAAATCAGAAAACAAAGTACTATATCATGCTTTTACTAACGAGTGCATGCAACTAATTAATATAACCTTTCAGTTAAGCTGAGAGAAAAAAGAGCAGCTTGAGGGAATCATTTCCAAGCAGGTCTTAAGTGCCACTAGTAGAGTTATTTTAATAAGCTTATGTTCCCTCCCAATACTTTTTTGCTTCATCTTCATTTCGGAAACCATCATCTCTCACTATAAAAAAGAAAAAAAGGATTTTCATCTCTTTTGATGAAGCATACCAGAACAAGGAAATAAATAGCAGCAAGAAAGGGTATGACGATTGAATACATCGGTGTTGCGTATACAATTACAGCCATTGTCATTAAAACAACAAGTACTGTTGATATGAATGAATGAGATGTATGCGGCAATAAAGCATCCACTATTTCTATATCCTGCAATTTTCCCTATTATCTCATTGATGGTTATCCATCTCGGGAATGAATTTTAACATTTCCACCTAACAGAAGATCATTCAGATTTATCAGAATTCCCCGGGCCGCAGTAGGTTAACAGTAATCAACTTGAGTGCGGCAACCTAAACACATTTACTGTGAATAATACAGTAAAGTTCGGGCAGAGTAAAATCAAACAGCTTCTGGCTAGCTATTAAAACCGCATATTTATTCTTTACTATGAATAAAACATATAGAACAAAAATCAAAAAAGATCCATTTACAAACTGCATATAGATATAAGACCAAAATTTGGAGCAAACAAGTTAATTAAAAATTAAAGCCCAAATCTAGGTTTATATAACTAAATAATGTCCCACCAACAAACAAAATTTTCGAAGTTTTCTTCAAAAACAAAGTTTTTGAAAACGATTCTTAACTTCTTGTGACACAAAAGAAAAGACAATCTAAAAATGACATGCAGGTAGTACCACTTAAAAAATGTCACGAAAAAAGAGGAAATCTATCAGATTAAAATGAGGAAAATAATTAGAAGATTCACGCAATTCGTTAACTATTTATCATGTAAAATTTTTTTTTTCTCCCAGTCAAAACGATGTATGTTTTCTGAAAAAATTAAACTTCGTATCCCGGATTTTATTCACAGTGCCAAACTGATCAAACGAATTCGAGAGCATTTTTAACGACGAGATTCAAGTACTGCACATTCAGTATGAAAACGTTCTCTGATGGAAAAATCTAAACACATTTTGTAGTTCAGAATAGAACAAGTGGACCGTTACACGTAACCGTTCAAATGATTATTTGTAGTTTCAACGTTTATCAAACGGATGTTTATATAATCGATGTATTTTGCTAATATTTGACTCTAAGATGCATCCAGAAGAGCTGATATAAAACTATAATGTGATATCAATAAGGACTTATGAGGACCTGTGAGGAGAAACCGGAAAGCATTGTTGTGAGGGAGGGATTTATTTTAGATAAATTTGTAGCAATTATATGCAAGGAAATCGCTAAAACGGTTAAGGTACGGTAAAATTTCGTCCGAATCCTTGAATGGTATTCATAATAGCAAGCAAATTTTTCAATCCTTGAAATTTTCAAGGAATAAATCCGAAAATTTGAAATTCACATTCACCTTTCCTGCACATTGAAGTGCTTAAAATACCATCCCTTCAAACTTTGCATTCTGGATTTAATTTGCAGTGTTTTAAAAACGGTACTCTATGAATAACAGCCTCATACTATAATGAAGAAAAAAAAAAACCCATAATGAATAAAGATAAAATAAAATAACAAGGATTAAAACGATGAAAATCTGACATTCATTAAGAAGCTCATCAACCGAATTTGATATTTCAGTGTTCAATGTCTGCAATAATGTCTACCTTGAAAACTCTATAGTAATAACCAAACTTCTACTGCTTATCAGACACGGAATGTATTCCTATCGATTCAAAGACAAAGAGGTACAAAGTATAAGATTCTGCAACGAAGAATAACATATTAAAAATTCTGAAACTAAACATGTGATAAGAACAAGAAAAATGAAATACTGGTATCCTTCAGTAGTCACTACTGTAAGGATATTAAGCGATTATGGTATGGTAAATCCATAACACGAAACTCAAAGATTTCGAGGCAGCAAACAAGCAAATTCTAAAGGAAACGGTTCTACGCTCTTCTCTATCACCCCAAATACAAGAAGAATAATTTTGTAAGAACAATCAAAAAGGATTCTCTGTTCAAAGGGAAAATGGAGCACTAGATCGTCTAATTTCCTTTTAGCTGCACAAGCACTGTCATAGCCAAGTATGAATTAAAACGTCACCACTTCGAGTGTGGTTAATTTGAATTTGAACTCAGACTCCCACTCCAAAAAAAAAATCATATAAACCTCAAATTTAGTATATTGCGTATTTAACACAATATACTGTATTTAGTAAAATATACTAATAAAATTCTAATCATCATATAATTAAAAAGAATACCTTCCCAAAACGGTTAACGATACGTCCGAGCGGTGTCATATCGAAAAATGCCATTGGTAAATGTAAAATATTTTGCAGTATTCCTTCGTGTAATTTTCGACTTGCAAAAACCATTCCATATGCCATTGTAATTGAACCAATACATACCATTGTGGCTAAAAGCAATGATTAGTCGGAGGAAAAGTTGTTCATTGAAAAAGTATTCATGGTTAGGACAGCTGGATATTTAGAGTTTTTGTGTAAGAACAAGGAATAGATTCCGAAAAAGAGAAGGAAGAAAAAATTAAGAAACAGAAACAAGGAAGATATGGTAAACTTGAAAATGTTCAGGATTTCATGCAAAACACACCCTGTCCCAAGCCGAGTATTGCGTAAATTCCTAAGCGCCAGTTCGTCTCATCTTCACCCACATTTGTGACGTTTGCTTTCTTGGCATGATCAGACCAATTGGCTAACCATAAATTGGATGAAACACCGAGAACAGATGAAAGAACATAAATAGCAATAAAGATTGCTGTTATGCCATAACCAATAGCATGAAGATACAAAAGGTACACTGCAAATTTCACCTGCAATAAAAGTACAACTTGTGTAAATATGTTGAGGAAGATTTTTATCCACCTAACCTCAAAATCTAATCTATTTGTGATTTTCGATTCATTAATATCTGATCTTCAATTTTTTTCATCTGTAATTCAGTTACTTTTTGAGGTAATAAAATCTTTTCAACAAATTCCAAACATGAATCAGTGGCGGCACAAATACTACGGAATGATTCATCACGCAAACCGTAAACTTCAGGTTTAGGCATGATGTGGCGCAACTAAAAAACCATTTCTTATATCCACCTTCCTACCAAAACAAGAATATTTTCCTTCCCAGAGATTGTAATAGAGACCTTTCCAACTTCAACGCCTTCCTTTTCAATTAATTTGGACTGTTCATCATTGCTTGATATAGCCGGTTTACCAGCCATTTGTGCAGACAATGCAATACCATCTGCCTTTCCACCACTTCCGTTTTTTATTGAATTACTACTGATCCTTTTCGCTGTAACATCCTGTTCGATAGTACTGTCCTAGAATAATTTACTAATAGAAAATTTTTGTCGAAATCGTATTACTGGACGGCTCCTGCGTCTCGTCAAACGAACCACTGGGGAATGTAATATGGGTGTACGTTCAATCAGTAACTAATAGTTTCAGATAATACAATAACCAAAAGCAATCCTACAGAAAACAATAGCAACCTGTTGCCCAACTGGTATGTTGTCTTGCGAAGATCTTTGTTCAACAGGTGATGCAGTTGTTGAAGTGCTATCTGCGCGCTGCTTTGTCACGCTCAAACTTTCCAAACGTTTGCGTTGCTCTGGATTCAAAACTTGCAAATCATTCAACAGTTCTTCCATTTCTTCTGCTGAAAATATATCCAAAATATCGTAACTATCACGACATTCAGGATGCTGCTAGCGATAACGCACGCTAGACACAATTTAGCATCAGCCTTCCGAAAAAAGTTCATGCCACACCAACCGTTTAACCACTTATACAAATTTATCTAATGATCTAGATCTAAGTGGAAACTGAAAATATATTACGAGCTCAACACATTTTTTATTCATTTGTCATTTTTTACATTAGACGAACAAAAATGACACATGTATTCCTGAAAAACAGTTCAGATGGATTTGGAACTTTTGGCTCTTTACTTGACTGAATTTAAAAATGGGATGAAGTTTAATATCACATCTCAGTGCAGGAATTAAAACAGTATGCGGAAATTGAAATTCTCAGTGTAGAAATTAAAATAAAACGCACAATCTCTTTCATCTTGGGACTGCATGCACTGTTTTACTTTGTTCATAAGGAATTCCTCTAGAAATTCTGCGAAATGTTTTTGCGCTTGAACCAATTCTTGAAATGTGCCCACTTCCGTAATTTTACCATCTATGAATACCAGCTTCATGTAGTTTCGGGAAAAAAAGTACATATTTCAAATCTTAATTCATCAGTCAAACAAAATAAAGCGATAGAATTTGGATAGAAAGAAGTAAATTTCGAAAATTCCAACCATTCATGACGACAATTCGATCACAATACTTCAGGTAATGTAGTCCGTGTGTTACCAAAATCCGCGTTTTCTTGGCTAATAAGCCAGTTTGAGATGCTTAAAGAACACATTTTTGACTTTGTAACTTATGTATTCTGTTTCCGGATTCGTTTCATTTATTCTGTAAATGATTTCAAAGGTATTCTGGAAATGGTTGTACTCAGTTTTTCTGCAATGATAGCATTTGCAGAACTATATAAGAATTGGATGACAGAACTACAGAATCGGAAAAAACGAACAAATGACACGCGTGAATGTGTGCCGCCCAACGTGGGCATCAACAGCTGATAGTGGATCGTCCAGGAGAACGATATCTGAATTAGCGTATACAGCACGTGCCAGACTTACGCGGTGTTTTTGACCGCCACTCAGATTAATGCCCTAAAAATAAAATGAAATAAACATGATGTATTTCACTTTATACTTTTTCCATCTGAATCCGGCACATAGATTAACTTTTCCATAGTTTTAAATTAAGGATTATATACCAGAATCTAACGTAAAATCTAAACCTTTTCACCAATTTCAGTCTGATCACCGGCTGGTAATGTTGCAAGATCTGGTTTTAATGCACATGAGTCAAGCACTGTTTCATAACGTTGGCGATCAAAAGGTGTACCAAACAAAATATTATCCATCAACGACAAATTCTGGATCCATGGCTGCTGTGGAGCATAAGCAATTGATCCAACAACATCCATACTACCGCTCAATTTATCCATTTCGCCTTAAGTTTTTGTGAAAACAAATGAAATCTCACATATTAGACTGAAATTCTTTCGTATTTAATATGGATTGGATGGAGCAAACAGAAGTGGGAATTAAAAAAAAAGAAAGAAAACTATTAAGAACCAAAACATACCTAGAATAGCAGAAAGCAAGCTACTTTTCCCACTCCCCACTTTCCCAACAATAGCAACAAGCTCGCCTTTTTTGATTTTTAAACTGATATCATTCAGTATCACTGTATTATTGTCCCAAGAAAAATTACAGTTCTGTATCGACAAAGCATAATCTATAAAGTATTAGCAATTTACTAATAACGCAGAGCTTAAGCAACATATTTGGATGATTCACCAATTTTTGTTTTTAGTTCGCCAAATTCAAAGTTAAATAACAGTTAGAAAACGCAGTAAAATGGTCAATGCAGCTGCAATGATAACTTTAAAAAAATTGAAAGTGGTCTCTATTTGGAATTAAAAAAAGGATAAAGCGTGGAACAGTTAAATGTTTTCCGACTGAAAGTCAATTTTCTACATATACAATTTCTAACCGTTTGAAGAAAATCGATCTTTTGTAGAAAGACGCATTTCATCATCGGATAGAAATGATTTCAGCCTGGCATTGCTAACCGAGCATTGTGTTCCTTGACTAAATATTAACGGAAAGATCGTCATTGGAAAACGTATCAAATTGAAAAGTGAAAGGCCAACGAATGTAACCTGCAAAGCAATTAAATTTAAACCAAAAGCGAAAGATGTTGGTGAATTGCTAGATTGAAAAATATTTTAGTGATGTGTGAAAATTTACAACACACCCACTTAATTCTTTTTTATGCAATTGCTAAAATGTGATTATTCTATGCTTGGCTAGCTTATATCTAGCCCTGAATATTTAAAATATTTAGGGAACTAGCGCATACTGAGATTTTAAAAGTAACAGTTAAGCGTCACTATGATCAGCATAACCATTTATACTATTCTTGGCTCATATCGATACATGATCTTAACTCCCAACTTTTGAACTAATTTATCCGATTTGAGTTAAATTCAAGTTATTAATCTGGAGTGGATCGATTTAATATATTCGTACCAGAGTTAATCTCAAGTTAAAAGCATTTGAAGTTATTTGACAGAATTGAATTAATCTAGAATTATTTATCCTGGCTGAATTCCAAATCATTTATTGTGTCAAATTTATCTTGCCTGAGGTGTAAGTTGGTTGTGTTGTGGGTCAATTTTCACATACAAGCCAAAAGTGACGATGGCAACGAGAAATGGCGCACATGACCAAGTCAACGATATTGCAGCATTATAAAGTGCAATTTCGCGTAACACAGCAATCTCTTTCTCGCGAATTTCCAAAACCTGAAAATTCCAATAAAGAGTACTTGTCTCTACTAAATTTTGAATAAATTCAAAAACAATAATATTGGAAATAATGTAAACGAACCAATTTTTGCATGCTTTTCTCCCAAGCATAGAATTTGATTATTCGAATCCCATTTAAAATTTCTGACATCAACTTCAAACGTTCATCCCGCAATTTCATTTGTCTCCCCTGAAATTCATCATTTCCGTATGACATTCCAAAAATATTAATAAGTGGTAAAGAATTTTTCCAAATAAATAAAAGGCGCAGCATTTTTCAAGCATAAACTGATATTAATGCAAGCATTTAACAGCAAATATTTTAAACAAACTCTTTTACGACCTACCGGAACACAAACAAATTGTTTAACTACTTTGATTTTATGGGTTCAAAAATGCGTACCTGACAGGTTTTCATTCTTAGAGAAATATATGAAGTTAAAGGAATTGTAGCGAAAAGTACGGTGAGACCAGCAATAACTGCTATTCCAAGCAATCGCCAAAGAAAGTAAACTGCCAGCAATATCTAAAAAAAGAAAAAAAAAACACAGAGAAAGTGATGGAATCAGAAGTAACGAAACGATAAACTAATCGAAGATTGATCAATCCCTTAATCAAAGTTAGGAATTGAATTTCCGTACAAAAGTGATTTAACACATCAGTTACCTGAAATGGAGCAGACCAAAAAAGCATAATAAAACTGGCGATGTCTTGAAAACGCTGGACATCCACAGACATCAAATTTACGATCTCACCAACAGTGCGGTTTTTTCGAGCTGTGTTGGATAACATTAATGCCTATAAAGAGAATTATACTAAAACTGATTTTGAATATTTGATTAAATATAACCGGTTAGTTCAAAAAAACCAAATGATTATTTAAACGGAAAAGGAAGAATAAAATGTTTTCAGTGACAAAATTTTCTTTTCTCTTTATTGTAAGATAATTAGAAGTAAATCAATCGTAAAATAAAATGATATTGGAATTAAAGAGAAATACAACATACTTTGACATACACAGCGTTTGTCAGCACAGAACGCACATTCATACCCAACATGAACATTTTGTGAAAATATTGATGCAGAATCTGCAAACCATTTAATATAACAATTCAGACAAGTAATCTTTCTAGCCTTTCCAAGAATTCTTTAGTTTAATTCAGGATCTTTTCATAGCTTTTTCTATTCCCTGATACGTCACAGTCTGATATTACCTACAATTTTTTTCCGACACATCTAAGATAAACAGTTATTTTACAACAAAAGGAAAATATTTCAATATACATAACTAACCACTGACTGGACAAGCGCAACCAAAAACATGGCAAATGATATAGCAATACCCATCCAAAGTGGTCGTTTCATGTCTTCGATATATGAGATTAACGCACTATAAAAACCACAAGTCATTTGAAAAGTACGTAAACCCTTATATTATTTACAAGATTTTTCCATTACCAGATAAAACTAAACACAGTTTTTCCACTTTTTATTTTCTGGTTAAGTAGTAAAGTCTCCGGTTATAAAAAATTTTCCAGTCAAAAAGTCAACCATTAACCAGCTTTTTGCAAATAGCTGCTTCAAATTCTCTTAGCAGAAAGTGCCCGAAAGAAAAAACACTGATCTTAATATACTCAGCGTTAAAGCATATTGTACGGTAAGTCAAAAAAATTCCAATTAAGATTAACAAAAAAAAAAGATCGGTTTGATTCCAGCAAAACACAAAATAAATATTTGACCTGAGAAGTTGTGGGCTAACGAAATTTAATACGTCAAATACAAATTTCATCGTAGCTCCAGCCAAAATGGTCCAGCGATATGTTTTCGCGAGCGCCCACAGTAATGATGGTTGTGCCTTCGGACCAAGTTTCTAAAATAAAACCAACTTAAGAAAGGTAATTACGAAGTAACAACACAAGCAAAATTATTCGGAAGATAAATTTCTGAATGGAAAAGTAAGAAACCTTAAGTGAAGTAGATTGTCCTGATGCCTGCTTCTTTTCATAGTACGCTAAAAATTAAAATTAATTAAACTCAATAAAATTTAAAAACAAAGAACTACTTTAAAAAATATCCCTAACGGCCTAATATCAATTTTTTTCGTAACATTCCACATTCCTTAAAAGTTATAAAATAAAGACAACAGCAAAGTTCACACGAATCTATAATGCATTTCATATATCTACAATGCTCAACATGATAATTCCTGGAAAATATGTGAATAACATTTGTGAAAGGAAATGAACAACGAGTCAAACTAGGCTAATTACAGTAGCAAATCAGCGTTCGATCTTATACAACGTTTCACATTCCTTTAAAGATTTGAAATTTACTTAATTTATTTGACAACCACAACACCAAATCAAGGAAAAGTATGAAATATTATGAACATACCATTAACTGCTGGTATCCAATGACGCTCAAACTTTTTCATCAAATTTCCACTTTCTTCATGCAGTCGCAATCGCCATAAATCATTAACTTCTAACGGTCTGCGAAAACCAAGTGCTGCCAAGCTGTGAAACCAGTTGAATGTTATTTTATTCAAGTAGGAACAATTATCTTCTGGGCAAAGCTTCTCCTGAAATGACAGCTAAAAGATAATGATTCCTTCTGAAACGATAATTAAAAGACATGGAAGTCCAAGATTTGGGATACAAATTGTATCAGGAAAGATTTCTCAACAGATTAATATTTGATTAAGGACGATAAAAAGATTCAGATATGCTTACATCTTTCATCCAATATTTTGGTTTATCAGCAAAGCATGACAATAATACTTCGAACAGTATGAACGCGTAGTAAATTATGTACAACACATAGTTCACTGAGACTTCATTTCCATTCTAAAAAATATAAATGGACAAAATCCCAACAAAAAAAGGGAAAGAATGTCAAGCTAATTTTCCATCCAGATACTTCAACCAGTAAACTAGAAAGGTTCTTGATTTTTCATTTAAAAACAGAATTTCATATCAATCACGAAAATAATTTTATCATAAATATCATACTACCAGTATACTGCTAACCTGAATTTCGGTCACGTCTTCGGCATATGCAGCCCGACGTCTAAGTTCCGGAAATGCACAAATTGCAGTAAGAAGCCAAAAGTTGAACAAAACGCCAGAAGTTACTAAGCCACGATTACGATAAGCAATCAGTAACAGCAAACATATGCAATAGGTTGCTGTCTGCCAGCAACATGACATGATACTGTACGGTTGATACACTGACGGTGTCCGGAACCATGTTATGAGATTGACTGCTGTTGCAATTGAACGGTTCAATACTAACAAGAAACAGAGGACCTAAAGTCTACTCAGTAAAAGTTCCGGAGTTTACTTCATATAATTATTTTATACAAATATATTAACTCAAAAAAAAAATCTCCTCTACAAATTTCTTCAGTTCTATGAAAAATTAAATTTGCATGCCATTAAATGAAACAATTCCATGATGAGAAACAAAAAAGGAAAGCTAAATTGAAAATCGTTTGATTCTTCCAATATATCGATTTAAAGTGGAAACAGTAAATGAAATAACATGCAGCATATCAATTTATAATGCAAACAGTGAATAAAGTAATATGCTGCAAGCTAACTATTAGCCAAAAATGTCATCATACACCTTAGTCATTCAGCAGATAGGACGACATTAGTGGTAGCAATAGCTTCAAAAAGAACACCGCTAAGTAACAGTCTTGTGATTGAGCCTGGCTCCTATTAGCTTTTAAAAATATTTTAAAAGAAAGAAATTGAAAAAACTAAACGGAAAAATATAGCATCAGATTTTTTTTTCGCTTTTTTTTTAAAATGCAGATAAGTAGCAGAAGGATAATATATACGAGAACTAAACTTACTATTCGAGCAACTGTTGGCGAATAAAGTTCTAACGGAGGATGTCGACTTTTCTTGAGGTCATACAGAACAAGTGGACTAAATGTAACCAAAAATATTAACGGGATAAGAACAAGGATTGATGATTGAGCACAATTCGTAGTGTGTGGCACAGTGCTATTCAATGAATAATCGAACACCTGTAAGGACATAACCTTTGTATTACGAGAGGAAATTTTGAAATTTCATTTTCAACATGCCAAAATGCTTTTGTTGATCGATCAATTCTACTATTGCTGCATCATATTTTGAACGGGAATTTAGTCTGGTATTATTAAACTTTGTTATAATGGACGAAAATAGATGAAGAAGGAAACACTGTCTTATGGAATTTTACTTATTGTCTAATTTAAGCTTAGGGAATTTATCCAGTTGTAATGGTTACTCCACTAATAACTACTGTAAGAAAAATCAAAAATTTGAAGATGTTTGTATATATATACAGTCCAGTTTCTTTGTAGATAACCAACCTAGAACTTATCTGGAAGAGTTATAAGATATCAGCCGTCTAATCATTCCTTATCTATTCATTGGTTGTATTATCAGTAAAATGGATTTTTCATTTGCTTTTTAAAATAAAGAAATGCACTGGAATACATTAGTATTAGTGTGCAGTATGAAACTTTAAAGAAAAGAAAAAAAACAGCCAATAAAAGCAGCATTTCAATAAGTTTATGAAAGTATTATTTCTAACATCTATTAATGTTTCGATTAAGGTTAAATTGTCGTTCTTTTTTCTTCCCTTTTTTTTTGCATTACAAATATATTGAAAGTTGAACTTCGAAATGTAATTATAGGAAGTTTGCTATCAAGTAATCGGAAAACAGCTTTGAACGTTGGTTAACAATTAAATTACAACATTTTTCCATCTGACAAGGAAGAAAAAACCGGTTTGGTAGAAATAACTTACTTGTATTTCATCCGTATCACATAAAATACGACCAAGGTAATCCATAATTTATACTTTGATGAACTTGTGAATTATAACGAAACTTTTACCCAATAGATTTTGTAATGATAGTTCGGTAACGAGTGCCGCATAGAAATCGCACGCTCATCAAATGATAGATAAGTGCTGATGCTAAAAAATAAATATATGACATGTCTGTCTGTTTAATTCCAATCGTTTACTTCCATCAAATATAATTTTATGCAATATATTTTGCTCGCAATGATACTTGGGGAAAAAAAAGTAGTTGCATAGGGAATGTAACATTCATCAAGCGAAAGTAATATTGACAAAAAAAAAAAAGTGACAGCGATTGTTTATTCCCATCAGATAAACTAACCACTGTGATATAAATTAATAAATCGCAAAAAAAACTTTCAAAACTTGTTTTTCACTTTTTTTGAAAATATAAGCTATATCGAAATGATGTTGTGATGCTTGAAATGATATCGAAATGATATTGTGACGAAATGATATTGTGATGTTTCATAGGAAGGATATTTATTATGCGTAATCAATATTTAATAAGAAACATTTCTATTTTATAGCCAATATAATCTATATAAATAAATACATGTAAAAAAATAGCAAATACGAAATTAGCTTAATGTTTTATTTATGATACCTTCTCTGTATCCTATAATCTGTCCTTTTATATTTCCCTTATATCTATATGCATTTCATCTTTTAATAATAATTTGACATATGACGGAAACGTTATTATTCAATGGTATGAAACGGATGTTAATATTAGCTTCAATCTTTAAATCTAAATTTAATAACTTTAGTTTTCTCATACAATAAAATATGCAAGTTTAAATTTGAAGAATCTCTTTTTTTCCTATTTTTTTTTCTTATTGTTTTTCCCTGCATAATACATCTATTGCAGCGCATATGAGGAGAAAATAATTTCCTGATAACCTGCAATGTACTTATACAGTATTGAAATGTAGAAGTTCACTATTACGTCACATTAATCATATGTTATCACATTATACTATGCTATTGTCATATTATATCATATCAAAATCATTCCTTCCCCAAATATTGCCAGTATCGCGTTATTTTCTCATTGACAATGTGCATGATGATGTTTAATCTATACGATCGCCAATTTTTGCAAAAAAAATTGGGACTACTCGTGACAGAATTTCTATGTAATGATAACTTACCAAGGATTCCAAAATATGTGAGATATCACTGAGAAGCATTCTTAATATATAGAGAATGTCTGCTACACAATTACTCTCGAATAAATTTTTGTTTAAGCAGTTTTTATGCACACAAGAAAAAAGTGTTTGATAATGATCAACCACAAGATTGCTGCAATCAAAATTTGTCCCGGGAGCCAAAAAAAGTAGCCCTGTTGCTTGCTTTAATCAGATGACGACATCATATCACGAAAATAAAACCAATGTATTCTTTCTTTTTGCACGGAATAATTCACTGCAGATAGACAGAGTGAAATTACTGATAGAATAATTTTTATAGATAGAACGAAACTAACTAAATGATCGATTTATGAATTCAGTATTATTAAGTAAAATTACAAAACTTTCGGTAAATGCATGTCCAGCAATTTGCATAGAATAATAAATAGCTGAATAATACAAAAAAAAAAAAAAAACGAAAAGAATGCTGCTCTGTAACTCCCCAAAAGATTCTATTTCCGATTTGGAGACGATCTTCGACATAAGAAATGGATAAAATTCATCTGATCATTCAACAATAACATTTTCCTTTCCTCAATAGAACAAGAATTTGAATGATGTATCCTTGGGAGGAAAATTAAACGACTTTTTAAAAGGAATTAATATCGTACAATCTATAAACTATTTACAGATAATTTAGAAACATATTTACAAACATTTTATACTTTCATAAACAATCTGTAAGTGTAAAAATTACAGATTTACAAACACAAAATTCATAAACAATATAAAAATAATCAGCAATTAATCTTCCACGGTCATATTTTCTCCTTTTCTCGTTCAGGTATTCTTCAATTTTCTTTCTTCTTAAAATGCCACTTTACCTTTTTCTAAATCTGTAAATACTACTTGCATTTGTTATTTACCTGCCTTTCTTTTCTGTTCGAATTTTGCTGCACTTTTAATACTAAATTTAAGTTAAATCAGTGGTACTGTTTACAGCCATTACTATTTTTTGATGCAATATTTCGATACACATAAATACACAAAGACATTTGCTACGATAACCACAATGTAAACAAAAACTGTGCCAAAAATTTTTCATTCTAAAAAATTTTTGACTCGTAAACTTTCTGAGTGGAACTACTGGCACTATCTTCTACCCCGAAAGAACACCGAATAGATCGAGTAAATGGATAACTTTTT